TAAAAGTACCAAATATAAATATAAATTTTTCTTGGGCATAACTGTTAGGTATATTCATTTTAACAAGGTATTTACAAACAAATAACATTTCAATCCACCCTCTCTAGTCCATTCTATCTTAGTTCGTGGTTTTTATGCATAATGTCTATTTTATAGAAGTTAGAAATTTTACTCCCTCCTGGCTACATAAAATTGTTATGAGGGCCTCGGGTTGCCAACCCATGGGTTTGACGAAAAGTTTTCATTTTAAAATATGAACAAAATTTGATTTTTTCACTATTGTTGGAGGTTGTTAATATTATTAACTACCTGTTTACCTAGATTCTTAGCAGAGCGATGATTGTATTGATTTTACAATGATGTGTGGTTTTTTTATTTTTGTGTCTGTTATCACGATTTGGAGCAGTAAAAGTGCTTCGATTTTCTTCAACAGCAACTTTTATGGTAGGAAAGTGAATCTAGTTGGTGCTTACGGGAGGTCAAACTCTAAAATGTCCAATATTTTTCAAAAGCGACATGAAAAATGACAAAAAATTAAGGATAAACCGGAATTTTTAAGCAAAACCAGTTTTCAAAAAGTCGATTATGCTTTTTAGTGTTAGGTTAGGTTAGTGTTACTCTAAAAATAATGACCATAGATACATACAATTTTCCCTGAATGTGTTTGTATTTTCTATACACCATACAATTTTAAAAATATTTTGACTCTTGTTGAACTATTTATAGGCATATGAAATTTTCGATTATTATTTGTTCTTTTAAACTACTGTCGATAAAAAATTGTTCACTCGATCAAAAAACTTAAAAATGTAATACAAGGTTCCTCGTAAGTTTTTGTTAGTGGAAATTAAAAAAAAATGTTGAGCGTAATCTACAACAATTTTTTACGAGCGTTTAAATTTAGAATTTAGACAAAATTCGTAAAAATCACAAAAATTATTAAATTATTTAGAGTTGGAAATACATAAAAATGTTTTTTTTTATTTCTAAGATTTACAAATGTAATACAAAATTCCTTATAATTTTATTTACCTTTGTAAAACAAACAAATTTTACCAGAGAGTCAAATTAAATTTTATGAGCGTTTGAAGTTGACATTTTTGCAACATTGAATATTTACTCGAATTCTTATGTACTGATTACCTTAACCTTATTTTGTTGTAATTCAAAAACGAATAATTGTAGACGCTTGAAATGTACGCAAATATGTTTATTTCACAAATTCATATACTTGATACAATTTTCAAAATATTTTGACTTGTTTTAAGCTGTTAACGGACAAATATTTTTTGGTTTTTTTTATATCGATGTAAATACAATTTTGTTTGTTGGTTGTTTCAGAAAACGTGAACATTTAATACAAGATTCTTGTTATATTCTTACAATAGCAGTTGAAAAATATTAAAAATACATAGGCGCCATTTTTTTACAAGCATTTAAAGTTAAAATGTTGATAACATTTATCAAATTGAAAATTGAAAATGATTTTGTAGTTAAAAATGTTAAAAATGTTTAATTTTTGTAGCTAAAAAATTTTTCAAAATTTAAAAACAAGGTTCACTTAAACAGTTTTTTCCGTAACTAAAAATCTAAAAAATATATAAATAAAGTTATTTTTTACAGACATGTTAACACAAAGAATAACGATTTTTGTCATTTTGTTGTAATTCTATTCTAAAACAGCCCAATTTTACATAAGTATATTTAATATTTTTCCAGTATCCTGTATCACTGATAATAATTTAAGAATAATATTGATTCAACTAACTCGCTTCCGTTTCAATAATAACTTATTTTTATGATATATCATTAAATACAAATTTAATACCATCCATACAGCGACCTTCTAGATACCTAATGTACAACAGAGGCCAGAGGGACATCCACATTTTTCTATTTTACGTGCTAGTTAGATTATTGGCTATAGACAAGAAAAATTGTGCCTCGAGCCAGGTCTATTGAGCAAAATTAAAATCATGCTGTGATTTATCATTCTATCTTCTGTCTTGAAGTGCTAAGTTCTAGTGTGCCTTATTACTTGAATATGAATATTTATTACTATATAATCATAGAGACCGGTTTTAGCTTGAAGCCGTTCTTTGGCTGTAATATTACTACGCAACTATTAAGTATAAACATTTTGAAATTTGTATAAAATTATAATTTAATAAAATGGTGACAATTATTTAAGAAATACATTTTTGTACATTTGGAAATAGAAGTGTCATGTATTTACTAATATTGGTGTTTGAATTACAACAAAATAAGAAAATCGTTTTATGAGAAATCGGGTGAATATTCAATACCTATTGTAAAAAATTTGAACTTCAAAAGCTCATAAAAAAAATGTCAATTGACAACTTTTTTTAATTTCCACTAACAGGAACTTATGATGTACCTTGAATTTGTAGTTTTCAAATTTTCGAACTGAGCTAAATATTTTTATCGACAATATTTAAATAAAAGCTAATTAAAATTTGAAATTTTCTTATGCTCATCAATAGCTCAAAAAGAATCAACATAATATGTTCATAATATATTATCTTAAAATTTTGTGGTGTGTAGAAAATGCTATTATAAACATTGGGAAAAATTTTAAACGGTATTTCGTGTGCGTGATTATTTGACCAATATTTAATTAAATAATTACTCATTGTTTGCTAAAATTAATTATTCTAAAAATTGATATTGGAATATTAAAGCACTATGTAATGGTCATTTAATAGATAAACTAGGTCTCTCCTTGATGTTATCACTAACATTATGTCATTTCATAGGGACCCAGACAGTCGTGAATGTGTTGACTGTTGAGTTGTAGAATCTGAGCATATTCACAATAAGTACTTCTATTAATCTTTGAACATAGTGTATTAAAATTAAACCTATACATTTTATCAAAGTGTTGAATGAATATAATTGAAGAAACTGTCTATAATCTTCCAATATTCCAAACTGTCTTAAAAAGGTAATTTTTAGATAAGTAACGTCATGGCGATATAATTTGTAGTGTTGGGAATTAAAACTCGACATTTGAATAAATGCTCAATATTATCAATTACCATAATAGGTATAGCATGGTGGATCGTGAGTCTTGACATTTATTTACGGATTTTGAAGTAAATATGTATTTTTTTTATCCCATTACAGTCATTGACATATTTAATGTACCTTTTATTATCACTCGATAATAATCACTGTAAAATTACAGATTTTTAATTAAGTTATATTTTATAATTACTAATTATTTATTTATAATACTTTTTGTTTTTATTACAAATATTTTGAATAATATTAATACATTAATTAATTCTTCAAACTTAAACAAATATAAAAATCTTTGAAAAGTTAACTGAGATCAATCGCCAGTGATGTACAGTTATATTAATATATTAATTAATACTTAAAACGTTAAAACTTAAGCAAATATGAAAATTCTCGAAAGGTTAGCTGAGATTAATTGCCACTGGTATACAGTAAAGCTTGAAAATTGAATGCACGGTTCCACATAAGTTTTTATTATTATAGCAGTTTAAAAATACTAAGTTTATTATCCAAGATTTTTTTTTTAAAGCATTTAATGTTAATTTTGACAAAATTCATCAGAGACCTGAACATTTTAAAATAATTGTATAGTGAAAAATATATAAATTATTCAATATTATATTTAAGGATTGAATATTTACAACAAGGTTTCTCATAAGTAGTACATACTGTAACCAAAAAATCAAAAAATATCCATACAGTTTTTTACAGAAATTTTAAGTTTAAATTTTAACGAATTGGATATTTAAAAAAATAACAATTTTAGTAAATTTGTTGTAATTTAAAAATATTATTCGTGAGTAGGTATTTTAAATTTTTTAAGTTTATTTTTATATTTTATTCACACTTGGGCATTTTCAAATGCAATGTTTTTGGCAAAAATTAATTCAATCTTTCATATTATTAATAGTAAAAATAAATTATAAATTAACAGCAATAATATCATAAAATATATTTACTAATACAGGCATTACATTTATTAACACTGTGTTCGCTCAGAATAATTGTTCGTATCTTATGATTTTATAAGATTGTGTTCAAATTTAATTACAGTGACTCACTCGACACTCATAAATGGCTATAATACTGTAAGTTACATAGCAAAGCGATATTCATTTGCTTATTTTTTGTACTTAATATTCAGCTTACCAAATAAAAACTCAAAGTTTCACTGATGAAACATAGAAGTGTATTAATTTGCGCACTGACCAATAAACCACTGGGGAATTAGAATAACCTGAACCTCAATCATTTTATTATACGCATTTAATAATTAAATACAATTAAAATAAAGATTCATCTAATTACAGAAAAAGTTGAAAATATTCGAATTTAAAAATGACTAATAATTGAACAACCATTTATTTAATTAATTTTTAAACTATTATTATATAAAATAGGCATATAAGTATTATGATTTATGATAAATTACTAATTATTTCTATTTTAAGTTGTTAGCGTCATGAAATCTCGGGGACACACAGCACCGTCGTCGAACGCCGGCCACTCGTATTAATTACCTACGTAGTTTGTTCTACTAGGTAGCTGTACGGACGTAAACGGCCTATTTTCTTTTGTATTATTTTGTTTAGTAATAAACCGTATTTTAAATCATACTTTTATAGCAAAATCTCCTACACACGGACAACAATAATCACTTATTGAAAATTGTTATTTTCATTTTTTAAATGGGAACATAAATGGTAATATGGTATATAAATGCTATATAGGTTTTGCAGAACGTGGATTAGACTTAGATATGAGTTAAATATTTTGAATCTGAAACTGCCGATCTCATTCTCATTATTGTACTAATTACTTTTTGAATATTCAACTAACTTTGTTGTAATGTAAAATATCAATGAATTATGATTATGAATAATTGACATTTTTATGTTTTTGAAATAGATCATGTGTAGTTATCAAAATTGTTAAAAAATAAAATTTCATGAGCTATAATGTATTATTTATGTGACTAATAATCATACAAATCTATTCATGCATGAGGTACCTATCAGAGTATCATTACTACGGATACAATTATCTATGCCAAAACCACTATAAATTCTTAGTAGAACGGTATAATTTTTTTTTCATTTTGGGTTTACACATTTTAAGTCCCAGGCGAAAACATCAAATCGACGTATCAAACGTATTAAACGTAGATATTTTTCAAATTCCAATTTACATAAAACATTTCAATTAATTGGCACTTTGCTGGTACTGAATAATTTATCTCAAGTCGTTTACAAGATGTGTATAAGTATTGTTTTAATCGTAAATTAATAATTTCACCCTATACTGATTCAGGTTATCTTCACAACGCGAAGGTCATATCTTACAACTTGTTTCTGTAACTGGTTTAGACTTTTAGTTAAATAAAATATTTCTGGTGTAGGCACATTCTAGCTCAGAACCATATTAGACGATTGTCATAGTCCGTCGCTGTTGCATCGTTAGTGGGGAAAAAATGTGCACTCGGTAAATTTATAAATGTGCATCTATAATCATAAAGCCGATTATGACTGGAAGCACTTCCTAACTTCTGTATTCCTGCATCTATCTTTTGCAAGGGTTTTGAACAATATTATAAATTTATAACGTGGGACAATATTATTAATGTTTGTGTGAATATTTTGAACTTTTGATTTTAATCTTATACGTTATATAATAGTTAGTTGCAGATGTTTTGAAAAAATAACAAACTGTAAGTGATTATTCTTAGCATTTTTTTTTTAGTAATTTACTTAGTTAAGACTTTAAGAGGACTCCACACACTATCATGTGTTGGCTCTCTATTTGAAAAGTACAACATAGTAAATGTTCGTTCAGCAGTTCCAATTTTGTGTAGTTATAGTTTTTTGTATTAGAGTGAATTGATCTATTATCAATTTTAAAGGTAAGAAAAAAAAATTCTATATATAGTAGATATATTATTTTGTATGTATTCTCTCGTTTGGTTTTTAGTATATTTATATTTTCGAGCAAATTGTGAAAACGAAACATATTAAAATTTAAAAATATTTAAAAATTAAATTATCTTAAATAACGATAAGAAAACACAGATAATGCTCGTATCTTTAAATTCACTTTAATATTAAAGCTATTAAGAACAATTTTTTAAACTGCTGAACGCAAATTTGCTATGTTGCATTTTTGCATAAGGCGTCATTTTACTATTGTGGAAGTGTAAATATTTCATAATAAAAGTGTATTTTAAATTATGCATCCATCGATTTTTTGATTCACATTCACGGTTTTATATTATATTTATCAATTGTTTTAAATTCACTTTTCGGGTGCTTACGACTTAATATTTACATTTTTATTGACCTATTATATGAAACGAATGCATCATTATTGATATGTAAGGAGTTTTGAATTGTTTATAAAATGGTTTTATAGATTATACATACACAATTATAATAAATACATCCTACGTTGAAATGTATATTACGTAGGAATGAAAAAAATATATGTTATGTGACAAAGCTAATACTTGATTACATTTGTAATAGGTCAATTAACATCAAAAGGTTATGTTTTGGACTCAATAAAAAAATAATTTTATGCATTACGTATTTATATTAAATGTATTTGACCATCATAATATCAGTGACATTATAAAGGACGTTGATTTTACCCGCTAATACAAATTATAGTTTTAAATTATTTATTTTATATATAAATTAGATTAATTCAAAAAAAGTTAATAGTGATGTTATTTTGTTGTTTAGAGCCTCAAAGTTTATTAGCGAATTTATGCTGTTTGTATTATTGAAAACCATCAAGTTGTATGGTATCAAGTTATGACAAGATCAATTAGAAATCGAGTCGATCTAGAAGGATGCGAGGGAACACGCAAATCCACATCAGAAAAACCAAATCTGGCTGGAGATTGGTTAAATTTTTACCTGTTAATAATACTTTACATAATACAAGGTTTCCCTATAGGCTTGTCTGGTGCTCTTCCAATCATTTTACAGAGTAAAAAGATGGTGACTTACGAAGATCAAGTAAGTTGGAATTATATTTGAATTTGTATAAATATAAGTTTTAGAGTACAATAAATTAGAAATACTAATTAAAACGTTCACTATGAGTATATGGATGATAGTAACGCCACAATAATTGGTTCTGTTATCTACGTGTCACTTAGTTTACTGTGCCTTTAGCGTAATATCAAAACGAGTTCACACAGATCAATCATTAATTATCTTAGAAATAATGGTAGACATATAAGAGAGCAAAGTGGATATTAACGAGTTCAAAATTAAAATCTGACTAAATATTAACTAACTTAAACACTTATTTCGTTACTTTTTTGGAAATAATTAAATTTGATAAGTTACACGTGTAACAAATATGTCTCATTCACTTCAAGTAATATTTTATACAGAAATATTAAAATTTTGTTAAATGTTTATGAAAGCCATTCACTTATATATAATAGTTCAAGAAATATTATTTTTCGCAATATTGCTGAGTGCGAAAATATTTATATATTTATTTTAACATTACCTAATTTCCTTCAATTTTACAAAAAAAAAATGTTATTTGTATTTATTTTTTGATAAATTACAATGTATGTCATTTATTATTGTTAATACAAATGTCGTAAATATTCTTTTATAATTTGAATTTTCTTTTTTTGTTTATTAAATATCTACTAGTTTAACTAAGATACTCATAAATTATAATGTACAAGATATAATTAAAACAAATAGTATGTATAATATAATACAATATGCTGCATAGTATAAATTAGATTATAGCTATAATGGCAGATTCAGAATTCGTATTAAAGATAGAGGGGGGTTTAAAGGAATGTCAAGAGTTTAGAAGAATTAATTAGGATTAAATAAATCTAGAATTAACCTTCAAAGCAGGACAAACAAGTAATAATATTAACTTTTATGTTATAATATGATCAATGATAATTCCAACCAAAAAAATCCTCATTGTACCTATTAACTAATTTCTGTGTAATAGGAATAAGCAAAATACATTTTTTTGCAGTTCATAAACAAATAGTTTAATTGATAGTATATATAATTTGAAAACTTTTTTATTTTTTTATTTTTTATTTGAAATAAACAATCTGTACAATATGCACAATAAGCTTATATGATATGAGTACATGATACGTGACAGCCGTGATTTAAGCAGCCACCCATTAGTGACTCTTGACTAATTCATTAATTATTTTAATTAATTTTTACTATAATTACATAATTTATATATTTTTTTTTTTTTGGGGGGGGGGGGAGACGTTAGACATTAAAGTTTTGTAATAGGTCGCGACACCACTTCCTTTTCAGTCTGCGGTTAGGATTTCCAGGTAATGTAAGGATAGAAAGATCGTTTATGAGAGGGTTAGGGTGTGAATGGAGTCGTTTGTGGAAACGAGTGTAAAAAATGCGTGCTTCCTCAACTATTGTTCTCATATGGAGATCGTTATGCAGAGTATAGTTAGAAATTTAGGGCGGAGCATTGGATAATCGTCGAAGTGATATATTTTGGAACGTTTGAATTCTGGTAGTGTTAGATATTTTTGCTGAACCCCATAGTTGTAGTCCATACGTCCAGATTGTATTAAGAAGCGCTTTGTAGATTGTAAGTTTGGTATTTAGAGTGGAGTACTTATTTTTAGTTAAAAGAGGTCTAAGCATAAGCAAACGATTATTTAAGGTTATTCTTTTGGTTTGAAGGTGTTTCTTCCATGTCAATCTTTTATCAAGGATTAATCCTAAGTATTTGGCTGTGTCAGAAGTGGGAATTGGTACGTTGTTAAGGGTAACGTTTGGGCATGTTCCTTGTTTGAGTGTGAACGTTGTGTGCTGAGATTTATTTTGGTTAATTTTAACTCGCCATTTTGCATACCACTCAGATAAGAGATTAAGATGCAATTGCAAATTTAATGAGGCAGCTAAGGGATATTTGTTTATGGATAAAATAACTTTATCGTCGGCGTAATCGGCTACTATGGTTTGTTGCATGGAAGGTTGATCAGCCACATAAATATTAAATAGGAAGGGGGAGAGTATGCCGCCTTGTGGTAATTTGAAAACTAAAAACCGTTTAGTGCAGCAACTTGACTTTCGTATGACTTTTTAAAGAAAATTTGTCTTAAGTAATTAATTAAAAAAATCAATCAATGGGTATATTTGATATTATATAGCTATACATAAACGTATTTATGCCATATGTATCATAATATACGTGTATTGTGTTTAATCGTTTAATGTCTATGAATATAGATCTAAAATATTCCAAATATTGAAGTAAAATAATAGATTTTATATCACTTGTATCTATTAGTAGTATTTGTACAAATACCAATATAAGTAACTTATTATAAAACTTAAAATAATTAGTCGTTTTATTCTAGATTTATTTTCCTTTATGGGTGAAAGAAAAGTTAATTAGATGATCTTGAGTCAATACTGTTCCCCGTAAACAGTAAATACTCACATGCCTTCTACATGGGTGTATAACTCATCTATTTCGCAAGAATGCATTTTTCTTATCGATTGGAAAATTAAATTTATTTTTAACTGAAAAAAGCTATAAATATAAATTAGTTAACTTTGAACTAAACTTAACTTAATGAGTTAAATTCGTTAACTTGCTCAGCTGTCAGAATGCTTATTGCGCCAGTAAAATTCGAAGAAAACAAAACTCAAAAGAGTATAATTTTATTTATCAAAAATCTAAATATTACATTTATAAAGAAATAAATTACCATAACTATAGGCAGATTAAATCCGTGAAAAAAAGGTGTGTTTATCGTTCAATTTATTTCACATCACAAGAGATCAGTTCTAAAATTCTTTGTTTATCAACCAACTATGTATATAACTATATATACCAAACTTAGTCATGGTGTACTCTTAAGTTCTTAACGTGTTGGATATAGATGCCAAGTGAGTGCCGGCGGCCACCCATCGGTCATTTAAAAAAAAAATACTTAATCCTCTTGGTTGGTCGGGGAAATAAAATGTGATTGTAAGACCGATATTTTAAGTTTTTTGTAGTTCAATATCGTGTTTCAGAGATTTATTTTTTAAGACGGATAGCGCAGTGATCGTTAGTAATTTTTTATGCAATTGAAATTAGAATGTCTTAAATTATTTGATACTTATAATCTACATTATGATATACTAACGTGCTGATTTATTATATAATACTGCTTAGAAATATGAATATATTAAGTTGTCAAGCAGTAATTCTCATGGTGCATAAAACTTATTTAATAGAATACATTAAAAAATGTGTAAACATTTTAGAAGTAAATATAATCTATTAAAAATAACCCACAGAAACTGGTTTAAACTTACATTTAACATTTTTAAAAATTAACAATCTTTCAAAAGTATCCTTATTTATCAGTTGTACTGTGTCAACCAATTCATAAATCACTATAACTTATTATTCATAACTATTTTAATAAATAAAACTCATTGATGTTTAATGATACTGTGTTTGTTTTTGTTTGAGCTGTTTGAAAACCCATATAAAAGTTAAAAAAAATTCTTTTAATTTCAATACCGAGCGTGATTTTTAGTTGAAAATTTAATCGATATTTAATCTTTACTTTAAAAATGTCAAAATAATCGTTATCTTCAAAATCATAATAATATACTAATTATTTTGTAGTTAAAATTCAACACATCGATTACACTGACCTACTCAATAACGATATACACTTGAAACATACTACACAGACATACAGCAGAGTGACTTTCTGGGTTTATTTTATCCAACGTGCTAACATAATATTTATAACTTTTATCTATATCTGTACAATATTATAATTGAAAAGGATTTGTTTTATTTTAGGCTGCATTCAGTATTTCATTGTGGCCTTATAGTATAAAACTTTTATGGGCACCAGTAGTAGATGCACTCTATGTGAAATGCATAGGTAGGCGTAAATGTTGGTTATTACCGCTTCAATTGCTGATGGGTAAGTGTATTAAATTTGTTCATATAATATTTTATAAAAATGTAAATAATTTTTAGCTTGATATTTAAATATTTTTGATGTTTTCCTAAGATTTTCTACAGTAAACTGCAACTATTTATATTTTGACAAATAATAATATGATACGTATTTTTATAAAATTCTTGGTTCACTATTAGAAACTTATTTTTCTTTTTTTTTATGTTTGATAGGGCTACTGATACTTTACATGGCCAGTAACATCGATGATTGGTTACCCGAGTCAGGAAAACCAAACCTAACAATGTTAATAACAGTGGTTTTCGTCGTTAATATTTTGTCTGCTACTCAAGATATTGTAGTTGATGGTTGGGCATTGACTATGCTGAAAAAGTGAGCAGCACAGATGACTTAGATACAATTTTATTTTTCACAGAGACATTGTTAAATTTTGATTTTGTTTACAGAAAGAACGTGGGTTATGCCTCGACGTGCAATTCGGTTGGAGTACCGTTTGGAATGTTTATAGGTTCAGTTTGTTTCACTCTGCTCGTGTCAGAGCAATTCAATATTACTTATTTTCGAGCTACGCCTGGCACGGGAGGACTAATTACTATGAAAAGTACGAAAGTAACAGAAATGACCTATCAATTCTTGAAACGTACATTTTAATACTTATTAACCTTTAACTGAATTCATTGCAGCTTGGTAGTGTGTATAAGTGTAATGGTTTCTACGCCCATAAGTACCTATTTGTTATGATTCATTTTACAGGCTTACAGCAATTATATTTAGAATTAAAAATGAAAATATACATTTTAATTATACTGTCAGAATACTCTGTTTCATGTGATAACGAGCGACAATTCTGATAGTTGACTAAAAATTGGCTATAATTTGAAAGAGAAAAATATTATTCGGGTCACATTATGGACTTAAATTAGCTTAAATGACGTCAGAAAAATACAATACAAAATTCTAAAAAATCTAGATGTTTATAAAATACGGCTATTAAAAATATAGTTGTCAATATTAGAGACTATTGCGATAGGTATAAAGTTATTAAAATGATCGGTATCCGACTATTTCACGAGAGTTTTCCTAGTGAGGCAAGTTTTAGTACTGAAAAGTGTCGCTTACGGCACCCTTATTACTGTATTGTTATTATTTGTATATCAAAAAATATAGTACAGTTATGAAAAGAAGGAGATTTTATTTTTACAGTAGTATTTTGAACCCATAATTTGTTTGTCTTAACTATTCGGTAATTATTATATTATGCAATTAAAATGTACTGACATTGTGTCATACTCCTTAAAAAAGATTGTTTTGTTCTAAATCCTAATTCTATTCAATCACTTGGGGCTTACTAATTGAACAATTAGTCTCTTTTATCGACAATACTTAACGGCTTTTAAACGGCTTAATGTGTTTGTGCTTAAATTACAATAAAATCACACTGCATTTTTATATTTTTTTATTTGTATAGGTTTTTTATACTTTTATGGCACCATGACTTTGGTGCTTACATCTATAGTGGGCATATTCAAAAAAGAAAAAGATAGCAGATTAGAAGATGGATACGTAAATATCAACGTATTTCAGAATTATAAATTACTATGGGATGTTTTGAAACTACCTCGCATTAGAGTGTTGGCAGTAGCTTTACTGACAACTAGGGTGAATATAAATTTAGTGCGATAAAATGAGTTAATTAATTAATATAAATAGGTCATTTTTACACTGATGTATAATATTTTATTTAATATATTTATTTAAATAGTGTTTTCGTGTTTAAATATTATATTTTTTACCATACATTGTACTACTTATATTTTGTTCATGTTTTAGATTGCGTACACTGCAACAGATAGTATCTCACATTTGAAGCTAATTGACGCTGGTGTATCTAAAGATGACATCATGATAATTACTTCAGCTCTTTATATAATAAAATTTATAATGCCTATATTTGTATCCGAATATATTACGGGCCCGAAACCGATGAGTTATTTCCTCAAAATAACACCCTTCAGGTAAACCAATTAATTACATTATTTACTTAGTTGCATTTTAGTTTTATATAATTATTATTGTCTTTAATCTAAAAAGCATCAATAAAAGATATTAAGTAGTTAATAAAAATTCAGATGAACAGTGGATCAAAAATGTGCTGGGTATCTTTGTGTCACTTCACTCCGATCATCTAAAGTTAAGAAATTTGACACTAATTTTATAACTACTCATTAAAAATAATAATTTGCTTCAGAACATGAAATTAAAAATATATGTTATCAATCAAAAAATGGAAATTCTTTTTAAAAAAGTAGTAAATAGTATAATTTTTTTCAATAATGTTGTATGAAATGACACTTACATGTAACGACTTTAAAATATAATCTAACAAAAATATTTCCCAACATTTCTAAACTTTTTGAGCAAAGAGTGTTTCATCTTTCATTTGAATCACTCTTTATACTTTATAATTGTGGCTTGGCGTGGTGTGATATTTCGCTTTAGTTACAAATGTGTTCTAAGTTCATCAGTCGGTGTAGTCCCCGGATGGGTGACCATTCCGGTTCTAATAGTATCAAATCCTTGCCACACACACACGTATTCCGAACCAACAGTACCCTACTCACCGTAAAAACCATCTAATAACCATGCAATTGATGCCATAAATAAAAAAATATATAAATTTATAAACATCTATAATTAAATAATTTTATTTCAGATTAATTTGGTGTACTACTTATGTTGCACTGATTTATTACACACCGAGTATGATACGAAAAGATGGCCTTGTCTCTGTGCCAACATATTATTATTTTATAATGGGATTAGTCTTAATAACAAATGAAGTAAGTTAATGTATGTAACTGTCTTTTATATACAGTGGCGTGTACCATAAACAAAATAGGTGTTGCTCTAATAAATGTTGGTGACCTACCCCTCATTATACTGTTATACCGACCTATAAAATGCCCTATTTTTCTTTAATTAATACCCACCTACCCATATTTAAGGTGTTGCCTTAGCAACACTTAGACCCTATGTTACACGCCACTGTTTATATATATATATATATATATTCATTGAATGGATTAATTGATGCATTAGTATTTGTGATATTATGTAATATCAGTTTTCAAGTACAATTATTTAAATAATAAAGAAAAAAGAATTAAATTTATTAAATAGATAAATTTGAACCAATCACTTTGCGATTCAATGCTGTGAATTCTTTCACGTTTATCATTTGAATTGAGTTTTAAATGTAATAAATAATATTAGGTATAAAATCTTTTTTTTTCAGGTACTGAATTTCTTCTTGTTTTTAACCTTATTTGCATTTTTTTGCCGATTGAGTGATCCTCGTTTTGGAGGCACTTATATGACGTTATTTAATACATTTTATTACATGGGATTTTTACTATCCAATACCTTGGTTTTGAAACTGGTCGCCTTTTTAACTTTTAGAAAGTGTTCGAATAATGACCAGAATACCTGTTCAACTTCAGATTTAGAAAAAGTAAGATTATTGTAATGCTTGTACTACAATATGTTTAGATTGACTTTGTTACGAAATAACTAAATTTAAAAAATACTCCTCGTACAATATTTCAACAATATGAATGTTAACATGATTACGGGTGAATTTTTATTTCAGTTATGCAAAACCAATGAAGGAAGTTGTGTTGTATCTGCGGATGGATATAATATAGTGGTTGCCATAAGTTTGATCATTGGCTTTATTTGGTACTTTTGTTTTAGAAATATAATCAAGAAGTATCAATCTCTGAGCGCTTCTCATTGGATGATAAATATTAAACGACCCGTGACAGCAGTCGAATCATGCCTTATACCCTCGTGATTAATGATAATGTAACCTAACTATTGAATGTATCATCATGTATATTTTTACATTGTAAAAAGTATAATATGTTTTTAATATTCACAATTTTTGAGACATTTTGTATCCATTTTTAAAAAAATCACCATAAAAAAATCAACTGTATGTACGAATACATTGTAACTATGTATATAATCATCTCACTATTATAAAATAAATAAATATGTTTCATTTTTTTGAATATATTTTGTTTATAGTTTTTATACTTGTCATATTTTTATAAATGGAATATACTATTGATTATTAATACCATTTTTCTGTGACCAGTAAGTTATGCTTAAAAATAACACTGGTAAAATTGATATTTATAAACGTCTGTGTTATACTTTTTTTTTGTATTTTACGATTTTGGATGGTCTTGAAAATATGTAATTTAATATTCTACAGTTTGTTTTACCAATAAATTACAACTAGCTTATACATAATACCATACGTTTTTTATTACTTTTTTTGTATGTGTATATTTTACATTACCTAATGACCTCAATGGCCCATATGAAATAAATGATATATTATGACATCGACGTACATATTTCCGATGTGAACCATTTCCAACATTTAAAATCTAATATTGATGTTTTGGTGTAACGTATGTAGTTGCCGAATATACCCTATAACTGCGTATAAATTAAATTTTAAAACTGGTTACCTACTAAGTGGTTTAGCCACACGTGGTCGTGATTTTCATTCATAAGCTCTGTATAACCGCCAACAATATTGAAATGAGTTATTCAAATGACATATTCGGACGGGCAAAACTGCTGTGCAACTTTGAGGTGGTCGATCAAGTTCCATATAATTGTCTTTTTATATTATTTCCTTTGATGAAATGCGTCTTAACACTAACGTTTGAACTGTCAGAAATGTAATTTCAATAATACGGAGGATTACTCAAATTACTGCCTAATTTAAAGTACCTTAGTAATTACTGTAATTGAAAAGTGTGATTTTCGCTGTATAAATAATGGCTATAATTTGTTAAACGGTTAGTGTTTATGGGCTACTGATGTATACATATATAATTAATTTATCGTAACATATGTAAACATGTTTCATAATATTATGCAATACTATGCATTATAGGCAGTCCTGTTTAGTAGGTATACAGTTTACCGATGATTTAAAAATGTATTATGTGTTGTACCGACATTGTTCTGAACTATATCCTTTCTATGTTAAACAATTAAAAAAAAAATAGTTGCTGTTAATTAAATTCAAATCTTTTGGTAGCATTTTGGAAAAAATAATTTTAAAAAAGTACAGGTCACGTCAGGACGAGCAAGTCGTCGGAGCTGGACCTAACCTAATGGCAGACAAAAAACGTTAGAGTGCAAACGAAAACAACAGTATGCGAAAACCATAAAGACGATAAAGTATTATATACCTCACGGAAAACACTGAGAACACGGTGGACTGTAGTCTGTAATAAATTTTTATTGCACACCAGTGTAATACGTGTATTTTTATAAATCATCTTATACAGTTATTAACCACTGGTGATTAAAGTGTAATCATAATATTTTTACATTGCTTATAGTCTATATATGTGCTTACGCTTATATCGAGGTACCTATACAAAAACTATTGTATTTTTTTCGCATAATAAGCATTGTTTTAGTAAACAGTATACCATACATACTGCATATGATTTACTTGATACGCGCACTGTAGTACGTAAATCAGTAATTGTACGAAAGTGTAGTCTCCTGCTACAATTGTTCACGTAATACGATCGTGGCCGCCGTATAATGGAAATACCATGTGCATCTACGCGATACAGTAGTTTAAGAGCCTTAGTCTACTCTGGTCGTCCGACGTGTTGAGTTGTTGTGAATTCGTGATTTTTCGCAATCGATCCACTCCGTCGTCATAATCAACAGCAGCACAACGTTTTAGGCGCACGTGCGTGCTGTCGACAGCCATTTACATATCTGTACGCGTTTGAATCAGCGGAGGCCACCGGTAAATTGAAATATTCGTCCTCGGCAGGAGACGTGACTGCCGGGTTCGTAGTACATTATCACAGTACCTACATCAAACAAATAGCCCTCGGCATCGTCCAATAACGCAATTCACGACGGCCGGTAATAAATATATTAGGTACCTACCTGTAATATTATAATTAATTAATATGCAATTTATCCGAGCATTTATCATTCGTCTATATCATCGGAATTTGTACATGCGAATTGGTCGGAGAGGCCAATAGGCTCATATCACATACAACTACCGCTCAAACATAATTTTAAACGATCATATTATGCAAACCATATTTTGTGTATTTTATACACATTACCTAAATTAATTGCGAGGTTTAACGCAATATATTGACCTGCGTTATCGTAGGTACCTCTGAGAACTAATATTTGATTCAATACGTCATACATGTTAGTTGTTTCTATTTATTTACTAGCAGATGAAAATATTTATTTATATCAAGTTTTTACTTATTAGTTATTACTTAGAATTCGTAGTATTTTCATGCATTTAATTTAATAAGCTGTAAAATAATAGTCACTTACAAGAACCATACTAAGTGTAGTAACTAATAACTTTAATATATTATATATTATACAAAAGGATGTTTAATAATATTATTTTGTATATTTTATAAGAATCACTGTCTATTGATATTTTAATTGCAGAAACTGGTTTTAAATATACATCAATCAATCGGTGTGATCATTATCACTCTCTAACATCGCAACAACTGCTATCTTTACAACACATAACAATCCCAATAAATACAATTTGCTACCTGTAATAACATTCAAAATTCATACTATTTTGAGTGACGGACAAGCATAATCACAACCAATTCATCATAATTTGTAAGTAGTATTCTTTATATGAGTATTATTAATTTTAATAAAAAAGTTTTGAATAGATTAATAAAAATGTATTGTAACTTAGGTATATCATATATTGTATATTATACAGATTTGTATTACACAAATTATGTTCATAGAACCCACTACAGCAATTTATTCCTCAGAATATCAAACTTTGAAGTATATGTTTTCATACTTAGCACCCAAATTAAACTATAGCATTATAACCATAACTCAGTCAATAAATATATATGTATATATATTGTTTATAATTTTTGTGTAAAACATGGTTGCACTATTCTCAATTAATTGTTTTAAGTTAAGAACAACAATAAAAACTCTTTTTTTATTAGTTTTTAGTATATCGTCATTAGTCAATACCACGGTTTAAAAACTTTCAATTTATATATCATTCCTGAAACGGAGAGTTTATAGTGTGAACATGAAAAATTCACTAAATGAAGAAGAAGAAGAAGAAGAATTAGAAATATTTGAAGTTCCACCTCAGTCTTTACCGGCCAAACCAAACTTGAAGGGTGATTGGCTGAACTTCTTTCTATTGATATTATTATACACAATACAAGGATTACCTTTGGGCTTAGCCATTGCTTTACCAATCATTTTTCAAAGTAAAAAAATTGTGACCTATAAAGAACAGGTAAATTTTAGTTTGAGAATATTTGATGTGATTAATTAAAACTCATTAATAGATACTATACGGATTTATTTATTTATACGGATTTTTATGTATTTCATTATATATCATCATCGTTATAATATATATTATGTATTTATAAATAATGAAATTGCCAATTACCTTTATAAGTGTAGTATTAAATGTACTATTTTCAATACTTTTTAGGCTTTTTTCAGTTTAGTTGCGTGGCCATATAGTGTTAAAATTATATGGGCCCCAATAGTAGACTCACTGTACGTACAATGGATAGGCCGACGAAAATCTTGGCTCGTGTTCGTTCAATTCTCAATGGGTACATAAATATATTATTTTCTACTTACAACTTAAGATGTTTTATCTCATAAAAAGATGATGGTTAAAACAATTTAAATATGTAGTTGTTCTAATAATTAATTTGTTTTGAATGCATTTTATAGGAAACTTTTTTACTGTTTTTTTCTTTTATCAATGTAGTTAGCAAATCATATAGTTTTCAACGGATCTGTAAAAAAATTTAATTGATTTAAATAAATTTCATTTTCATATTACTATATACCATTTTTTTAGCTTTAACTATATTTCTGATTATTTGGTTTGTTATCATAATGCATACGTGTCCACATAATTTAAATTATAATTTCACACTATCTAATGAATCCCGTGAGTCTCTCAATCATAAAAATGATAGGCCAATACACTCTATGCATTAAAGATATAATTCTAAAATGTTTTAATTATGAATTGTCCTTATACAGATAGCCGATAGTTATAAATATATTAAGATTCTTCCGGGCTTAACTCATGAATATGCATCAAAAATATACACACGTATGGAATGTATGATAAAATACAATTTAGACGTGGAATACGTTTGATATGTAAATTATATAAATTGTACAGTTTCAAATATTTATGTTATCGACAAAAACTCAAAAGCATATACAATGGTCCAAACTTTAAAATAATTTATAAACAGTAATTTTCCGAAAAGTGCTTGATGAAAAAAATATGAGAATTCATTGCAATTTTAATTGTCATAGATTTCGTACTATCTCTGTGCATTCCAACATATTATATAATAATATTATGTTTTTTTTGTTCTTCTTGTTCTAATTATGACTATATTTTTTCTTGAACCATTTTAACTGTACCTACATCGCCTTTGCATGGAACAGGGATGGTTTTACTCTATACGGCCATGAACATCGACGAGTGGTTGCCCGAGTCCGGAATGCCTAATCTAAAAGCACTGGTGATCACGTTTTGTGTCATTAGCTTCTTGGCCGCAACACAAGATATAGTAGTCGATGGATGGGCACTGACAATGCTGAAAAAGTAAGTTGAGAATACGTTGGGACCGCAATTCAAAGATATGACTGAAGACCGAAAAGTGATAACATACATCAGTTAATGATTTTTAACTTATTTTCCCAGGAACAACGTTGGTCATTCGTCTACGTGCAACGGGACGGGTGTAGCATTGGGTGTTCTCATTGGCACTATTTGTCCCGTTTTACTTACATCAGAAGACTTTTGTAATAAATACTTACGGACAACGCTCAGCACAGGAGGTTTAATCACTATAAAAGGTACGTGATTAAACGGTAAAAATACTCTATAATCAATGTTTATAATCAATATTTACCATGTACAGCACTGTGCCTTCATAAGGTATTCAAAAACTGGTATCTGGATACATTTGTTGTATAACCATTTAAGTGTAATACTTATTTACATTTTTAATAATAATTTTACTCTTAAGTATTGTATACGGTATACCTCTTTGTTTGTATAGTGTGTCAATAAATCAATCGCCATGTGTATAGCCATGTGTAAAGCCATTGTATTTAATTAAGCATTCAAGTTGGGTGTTAAATTGGAATATCAGTAATTTAGAATGTCCATTATTAGAACTTTTTTTTAGCATTTTAAATCATAAGACTTTTATTTTATAATTTGTATTAGGTTTTTTGTTTTTTTGGAGCATCATAATTATGTTAATAACAACATTTATTGGTATATTCAAAAGAGAAAAAGACGATACACTAGAAGATGGGCACGTAAAAATTAACGTTTTTAAAAGTTATAAGCTTCTTTGGAAAATTCTAAAGCTGCCTAATATTCGTGTATTGGCAATTGCATTGTTAACAATGAAGGTGAATATTGTGTCAATTTTAACTAATCATCTTGAATAACTGCAATCAACTTTAATCAATAAATTATTATTATTATTATTATTATTTAGATTGGATTTTCGGCAACTGATTTTGTGTCAAAGTTAAAACTTATTGATGCTGGTATATCTAAAGATGACATAATGATAATAACTATATCGATGTATATAGTCAAATTTATTGTACCTCTCGTTGTATCAAAATATACTTCAGGTACAAAACCGATGAGTGCGTACCTGAATTTAATGCCAATCAGGTATAAAAATTAAAAATTAAAAAAACAAAATATGTTTGAAAAATAATTAAACAATAGCCATACGTATTTATAAACTTAATTTATTTCCATAAAATTGCCCCCCCCCCACAAAAAAAACAACTCGTTTACTGTATGGGACGATCAAATTAACTTTTTAGAGTTATGATCAACAATAAAATGTGTAAAACATTATTAGTACCTACCCGTTCTTTGTATTCTGTGTGAATTTTTTTTTAGTTGTATAATCCGTAATTTAAGTGAAAAAAAGTGATGTTTTGATTAATTATGTTTCAGGTTACTTTGGAGCATTGCTTATGTTATATTAATTTACTACACACCAATTTTGATTCAACATAATGGAGTTGTAAATGTACCGACGTATTATTATTTGATTTTAGTATTTATAAGTATAATACATGAGGTTGGTTGATACATTTTTAAACTAATATAATATTATACATATATTTAATTGTTTACATCAGTACCACTTGTGAATACAGAAAATTATTGATAACTAAAAATTTTAATTAATCAAATTTCACTAAAATATATACTTAAAAAAAATAATAATAATATATACTTACTAAAATGTTAATTTAAAAATCAAGGGTTTCTCCGCAAACAATATAAAATGCGCACTATTTATTAAATTAAATTAAATCATGTCATTCCGATAGTACATAGATACAATAATTGTTAAATCTTATATTCTTATACTTCTTGATTCCGAGTGGATCGATCAATGAATTTGTTTAATATTTATGTGTATTGTTTTAAAATTTATAATAGACATATTATATTTGGTTTCTTAATGTGTTAGTTTTAAATATAGAGAGTGACTTTGAGTAGAAAAATGGATCTAGATGATACTTGTGATTAAAAGAAGAAAATTCTTAGTACTTTTCAAAATAACGATAAAAACTAAAACCTTATATAACCTAGATATTATAAAAACAAAATAATTTTTTCACTATGTATATTATTTCCTATACAAAAATATTTAAACTAATTTTATGCTATCTATACCTCTTGCCAGTTCGCATCATCTTGAGATACGTCATTATTGACTTGTAGGTTAATAACAATAATTTATGATATAGGTATTTAATATCATAATAACTAATAATTAAAAATTAAAAATGTAATATAAATAGTAAGTTTGGAAAAATAAGCTCAATCTACCCTATTACTAATAGAAAAATAAATAAATGATAGTGCTTTTTAAAATATCCTCAGAAATGTAGGTAGACATGTCTCACAGCTCAGAAGCGTTTTCCGTTTATGCAATGATTTAATATCATAATATATTTAAAAAGTGAGATGATAATCGAACAGCGATTATATAATTAATATTTATATTGTTCTGATTCCAGATTTTAGCATACACCATGTACCTTTTCACACTAGGATTTTTCTCTCGGATAAGTGACTCACGTTTTGGCGGTACATACATGACGATGTTGTCGACGATTGCCAGTTTTGGATGGGTAGTATCACATACTTTAGCATTGCGGATGATTGACGTGCTCACATTCAGTAAATGTTCAAATGATGATGAAAATAATTGTTCTACGATAGATTTAAAAAACGTAAGAAATATAATAGTATGATTGTCCGAGGAACTGATAATCAAATTGTTAGTTAACTGAACTATGTTGAAGTACTAAGTGTGGTGGGGGGACATAGTAAGAATGCATTTTTTCTTTTTTTTACATTCCCTAACTCGTGTTTGAGAGCTTTGGACATATTTCTAAAATATCTACGGAAGACAACGATTAGAGTATGATTTTACTTTATTAAGCTAAAATTGTCGTACCTCAATAATGATGCAGCGCCACAGCCCATAGCACCCGCAGACCTTTTTCTTCAAGTGGGCAAAGGATATGCATTAATATTTATAAAATAAATTATACCTAACATATTTTGAAAAATATTGCCGTGTCTCGTGCCTGATTTTAAAAATCTTGTACAGCAAAAAAATCTTTCTCAGATTCCTTACATCCAGACTCCCTAGCGCCTAATTGTTGATCATCCCATATAACAGTGGTTCCCAACCTGTTTCATTCTACGCCTAACTTGTAAATTAACTAAGATCTCATTCACCCTCTTAAATTAAAGTTTAGGGGAATTTTTTTTTGTGAGCGGTATATATAAAACATACAAAATAACTATATATTTTACAATATACAACTATTTACTTTTATTATTTTCACATTTTAAAAATGTATTATAAATCAACTTACAGAGTAATAATATTAAGTATAAAAAAAAATATTGAATATAAAAACAAAAATATTAACATTAAGGATAAATAATATCTCGTTCTATCGACTCTATCGTTATACCTAATATATAATTGTTATCGATACCCGATAATCTGAAAACTAATACTGTGTTTTCAATTTTACACATTGTAAAATAACATAATTATTTTCGTAATTCTATCATCACTATATCCCCCCTCTCCGAGTAGACTCTAAATTCACTCCGGGATTCCCCTCCCCCCCCCGGCGGGGAACCGCTGCCATAGAACTTAACAATATTCATTAATTATTACAAGTATTGAATTCGTCTTATTCAAAATTTCTTTTACTTTTAGATGTGTAAAATAAAGGGAGGTGATTGCAACATTATTGTAAATGGTTACTATATAGAAGTTGCACTGTGTATGATAATTGGATTCGTTTGGTATTTTTGGTACAAAAAAACCATAAAAAATCTTCAAACAATGAGTCTTTCCAATTGGCAAGTGAACTTAAATCGACTAGATGGAGAAAAAAAAGAAGAGCTTTAGTGTACCTACGATTTAAATGTGATAATACATTATATTGTACCCAGATGACTTATAAGAATATGTTATTTAATTTACATTGTGCCAGTGAATAAAAAACACTTCAGAATCCTGTTATTTTTTTCATCATTATTATTATTATTAGATTCAAAATATTTTAAATTTTAGAAATTAAAATTATTAATTACTGTCCTACAACCAAATATTTGTGATTCATGTATATTAACAAATATCTTACTACTGTTTAATGTATAATATTATTACAATTAAACATTATTGTTATATTATGTATGTTTACTGCAAAGTACATAGTTTATATTTTATTTTCTGATATTTAGTATAATTCAATTTTATCGAAAATGATGTATATTTCCATGTAGAAATGTCAATTGATAAAAAAAACTAAATTGAAGGACCATAATATTGTTAAGAAACATATAAAAAGTGACTTGGTGAGGCGCGGTCGTACGCTCAATCTGTAGCAACGCTCTGAGCGTAAGTACCGGCCGTCGTTGCTAGCACTCGGATGGGTGACCACCCGGGTTTTTAGCAACACGTTTTCGCCGCACATACAAACGTGTCCCAACCAACCGTTCCTCCCACACAGTACCAGGCTAATTACCTTGGTAGTTATTTCTTAATCCAAATAAAAAAAAAAATATAAATATAATACAATTATATTAATTTAACCCATACGTTTTATTTATCTATGGGTTGTGCCAACAATGATTGTTATATTATTTATATATACTACTAAACATCGAATTAAGAAAAAAATTATTTATCAAAATGTCAACTCTTGAAATACGTAGATTAGTTCTATGTTTCTTACATTCCTCCATCAAAATACGAATATACCTCGGGTCAATTAAGCTTAAGTTAATGCTAAAAATATGATCAATATACATCCATGAACTGATAGAATGTTTTAAATTTTAAACTAAAAAACTCAGAAGGTATTCAAACAAAAACCATAAAGCAATTAAAATTTTGTTTCTCAATAAGGTAGTATAATGTAATAAATACACTACAATATATTGTTTATAGCAATTTTAATTCTAAATTAATTCTAAAAAAACTTAAATTTCAAGTATTATTAACGATTACATGTTTAAGTATTAACCTTAATTAGCATAACGTGGAATATAAATGTTAAGCTATCAAAACAATTTAATTTGTTGTATACGATTCGTTACATACAATAGGTCACGAAATTATGATAAAATAATATTCTGATAAACTTGTTAATAATTTATTTTGTTTTTTTTCAAATCCAGATTATAATGTTCACACAGTTAAAATACATTTTATAAGTATTAGGTTTACTAATATATTCACAGAGCATTTGCTCCACTTATAAGCTATATTCACGGTGATAAAACATGAAAAACTCACAGAAAAATGACAATGCATCTGAGGAACTTGATGTGACACCCCACTCAATGTCGACCAAACCAAATTTAAAGGGAGACCGATCGAACTTATTTTTATTGATATTACTGTACATACTGCAAGGGATTCCTTTTGGATTTTCAACTTCAGCTCTACCAATAATTCTACAAAGCAAAAAAGTAGTAACTTATGGAGAACAGGTAATATATGATATTTGTTTGCCTAATTAAAATAATAAATCGATAAATACGCTATTTAATCAGTTATTAATTATTAATATGTTCCAAAGGTCATAACATTCAGAATAATGTGATTTTACACACAATAATATCACACACCTAACTAATAAGTAATAACACATACCACAATATACAAGAACTGCAAATGCAGCATTTTCATCTTGTTTAACGAGAAAACTAATGACAGGAAAAAATAAATTTTGTATAAGTTAAACATTAACGTATATTTGTTCGTCAATCAAGCCCAACAAAATTAGGCTCAACATTTCAATTCAGGGACAATAATAATATAATAATTCATATTGAAAATTATTCGAAGTATCGAAAAATCAATAAAATCATAGGTACTTTAATTTGTACTTTACCAGCTCAGAAAATGTAAATTATAACTCCGGCTGGAATAGTTTTAAAATTGTTTCTCATATAAATATAATAGTATAATATACTTATGGTCTAAATTTAAACCATTGGTGAATTTAAAACAATTATCAATTACTCAACAACATTAATAATTGTTAAATAATATTTTTAAGTGTACATATTAGTATATTTCTGCCAAATGTAGTTATATTTATAATTTGCAACAATAAAATGTCATTAGACGCAGTCATCGTGAGAGTGTAGTCTCACAATTGCAGAAAAATACTAACAATTTGATATGATCTACCTATTTATAATTTATTTATTATACTATATAATGTGATTTAGGCATTATTGAGTTACATACTATGGCCGTATAGCCTGAAACTATTTTGGGCTCCGTTAGTAGACGTTCATTATGTACAATGGATAGGCAAACGAAAATCTTGGCTCCTGCCAGTTCAATACTTAACGGGTAATCTTTTCAATTCTTCATTTAAATATTACGTACCATAATCCTGGATAAATTAATATAACATAATTATTATTTTTTTCTATCACAAATGAGCAGGAATTTTTTTACTTTATGCGGCGAATAACATCAATGACTGGATTCCTGAAACAGGTAAACCTAACATAGTTGCATTAACGTGCGTGTTCTTCGTCCTTAATCTGTTGGCTGCAACTCAGAACATAGTTGTCGACAGTTGGGCACTGACGATGCTGAAAAAGTGAGTAAAATAATAATTATTTATTTTGACATTTTAAATACAACTCTAAAAACACATTATTAACCACTGCAGTGAACATCATTATTTTTATTAGAACCAATGTGGGTTATTCGTCTGTGTGCAGCTCTTCAGGTTTTGCAATTGGCATTATGTTCGGTTCCGTGGTTCCCGTTCTGCTTACATCCGAAGACTTCTACAACAAACATTTACGAATTACACCCGGAGTGGGAGGTATTATGACTCTCGAAAGTAAGTAAGTACCTAATGTGTAAAAATCCTATTTATTAAAGTCTGAAAACTGGTTGGAAATTGTATAATATTATGTTTAATATTAAGTCTATTAATCAAATTTTTTAAAAAATATAAATTCAATATTTTGTTTAGTATCGAAAAACAATTGTTATATACTTATATATTATATACAACAAAATAAAACTATAATATGTAATTTTGACAAAGGCGCTAGTTATGATATGTTTTTTTTTATTTATTTAGGATTATTATTCATTTGTGGCATTGTATTCATATTAGTATCAACTTTAATTGGCATATTTAAAAGAGAAAAGGATACTAGATTAGAAGATAATTATGCACAGCTTCACGTTACTAATAGTTATAAACTACTATGGGACATTTTAACACTACCTAATCTTCGTGTATTATTAATAGCATTACTAACAATGAAGGTAATTAATAACTACAACAAATCAAATTAGCAATAAACGCGTGTTATGCGTGATATTTAAATTTGAAAAATTCTCAATTAGCATTAGATCGTTTTCGTGCTCAATAGTGAGGAAGTTTTTTAAATATGTTTAATTGTTTATACTGCACATGGCACATGAGCTTATGATTATATTTTTTTTTATTCCATTTGTTCATAACAGGTTGGATTTTCTGCAATGAGGAATTCTTTACTTTATTTGAAATTGGTTGATGCTGGTGTACCGAAAGATGATATAATGGTGCTCACAACAGCAATGTTTGCAGTAAAAATTGTAACACCGTTTGCTGTATCCAAGTATACATCGGGACCAAAGCCGATGAGTGTGTGCTTAAAATCGATGACAATCAAGTAGACTGTTATAATATTATAATATAATTTTATTTTAGTTTTTTAATTTTTATTAATTTTATGCAACAGGCGCTATATTTGTTTTTTCTACTTGTATTATATTTTTTTATATGTGAAACTATTTAACATATTCCATTATACAATATTCAATAAATTCCATACACATAAATTTAAATTTGTTTCATGGGTCATAGGTAGATGGAAATTTACAAATTTGTCTTATACTACGATATATATCATAGTAATTATTGAAATATTAATTATTTATACGTAAAAACGAACCTAAAATTAACTGTAATAATATGCCCCAAAATAATTTAAGTTTTTACCTAACCACTTTGATTTTGTAACTTTTTCTTTAACTATGCATATCTGGTATATGATATATCTACAATAAACATATTTTATTCCTTAGGATATTAAAAAGTAATAACACGAATGCATGCCATTAATATAATTTATTATAATTTCTATAGTTTCATGTTTAAAAATTGTTTGTTTCAGATTAATCTGGAGTCTTACATACATTGTTTTTGTTTATTTTACACCAATGATTATATATCGTAATGGAGAATTAAACGTACCAATATATTATTATTTGATTTTAGGACTTATAAATGCAATAAGTGAAGTAAGTTGATAAACTATACTTATTAAACTTATGTCATACTATTAATAGTATAATATACATAAAATCTCTATTGATAACTAGATTTGGCCAAAACTATAAAAATATGAATCTATAATATTATTGAAGATCAAAATATATACAACTTATATTGAGTTGTCAAATCTAAAGCTTAAAGCTTAGCATAAATAATATAAGATTTGAAAAAAATTAGCTACTAATTTTTATTTTATTGTTTTTAAATTTCAAATGTATTATCAAAATAATGTATTTTAGTTTTTAAATAATTTCAAAACGTTTGATCTACCGGGTTTAACGTATTTCAAGATTGCAATTTTTAAGTTTTAAGATACACGATTAAAGAATTGGTTGAGAACTGATCGCCGACGAATTGTTCAAAAGTAAAATAAAAATTGGTCTTCAAGATAATTATTGATCCCCAAACAAAACTTTTTAGTTCCTTAGATTTTTATAATACGAGGGTTTTTTTCATAAAGACTGTACAAATGTATTACAAATTGTGAAACTTGTAACCAACTATTTGTTGGGAGCTATTTACCTATACTATAAAATAATATAATAATGATTTTTATTTTTTATTGAATCTCTTTTATAGTTAAAATAAGACGTTTTGACAAAATGTAATTGGGAAATACTTTCTGCACACAATGTGATATTTTTTTCTTGTAACGTGTTTACTAGGCACTCTCCTATATAATGTTAGTAGCCATAACAGCATTTTTCTCTCGAATAAGTGACTCTCGGTTTGGCGGAACATACATGACGTTGTTGAACACAGTTGCAAATTTTGGAATGACATATTCGACATCTATAGGACTAAAATTGATTGACTTTTTAACGTTTAAAAAGTGCTCGAACGATTCCAGTAATAATTGTTCTACATTGGATTTATTTAACGTGAGACATTGATAATTAAAATATATTATATAAGTTATTTACTTTTTATATTATATCTATACAATTGTTTAAATTATTAATTTATTGAGTTCATGTAATTAATAATTATAGATAAAAGATAAAATGTGAATCCTCTTAAGTTATACAATATTTAACAAAAGCAGTTTATAACGACGTGATGTTATTGTGGAATATTGAGAAGTGGTCATTTGAATCAATATTATGTTGTAGACTAACCTATATTGCACTTACGACGACAACCTATAGACCGTATAATGAATGCATTTTTTTTGAGTTTCAAACGTCTGATGTTGACCTCGACACCGTTATAAGCTGTTTTTATAATGAATAATAATCGTTTTACTTAATATTATACTTATCGAAATATGGTTTTAATTTAAATAGTCATGCGAAACAAATGGTGGCGATTGTCTTATAACTGTGGATGGTTACTATGTAGAAATCATCATATGTGTATTCATCGGCTTCATTTGGATTGGAGTGTTTAGAAATACGTTCAAAAATTTTCAAACCAAGAGTTCTTCATATTGGATGGTGTATGTTAATCGACAAAGTGAAGAAAATGTCGAAGTTTCTGTTGATACTTGTTCTAAGTGAATGTCAAGGCGTTAATTCAGTGATATTAAATATATAATTTTAAAAAGTTCATTTTCATATATTTTGATTAAGTTACCCAAAATATTGTAATGAACACTTTAACCTAATGCCAACTTATTATTTATAATTGTTTTTATTATATTTTATCAAATCTGAAATCAATCAACCAAAATGGTTGGTCAATTGATTTGACAATTATTCTTATTTAAATATCCTAATTTATATCAATAATTTAAAAAAAATAGTCAATTAATTGACTTTATCTTTCATTATATTCTATGTTATTTTCTTAATCAAGTTTTAAAAATTAAAATTTCAGATGTTTGTATATTTTATAGTTTTATACACTTAAATTGCATTATAATTTATACATCATTATTTATATATGTTACTAAACATAAACTCTGTATTGAATCAAGTAATATAATTCCATTAGAAATAAAAAAAATGTTAACTATTATAATATATTACTAGCTAATCCTGCTCGGTCGTCGCGTTCCTTGTGGAATTATTAAATAATGCCAGTGGATTTTTCCTATCTCAGAACTACCCCGCTAATTGTAAGCTACACATATTTTTAACACAGTCATTAGTGGGTGATTTCAACTAAATGAAATATATAAAATACGTCATGTATAAAATTAAATACAATTATGATAAATTCTTTATTTTAAATAACCATTGGCAACTCCATACAATCAAAAATTATTCGTTTTCCATGAGCCAAAAAATCCCTGTGTGCGTCTTTCCTTTTTGCAGAAAATGATGCAAAATAATTTTTTATACCATGGAATATTTATCTTCTTTTTATACATAATTATACTGTACTTGTGTAGTGTATGTCACTGAACGGCTTTACAGATTTGAATGAATTTTTTTGTATGCGTTAGGTATCCTTGGACGGATTAGATTCACAATTAGACCCGATAGGAGTTGCTCAAACAGGGATTTAAAGATTTACGAAGGAAATATTTGTTTAAATTCGGTTGCTATCGATTATAGGAGAAATATAAATATATTTAGTATAGAAATTAGAAGTTTTTTTGTTCATTGGTTGCCTGCAGTAATTCATCGGTCGGATCAGGTATAAGCATACATACAACTGAATTTTCGCACATTGCCTACCAAGGTTGCTGAGTTGCACTTATAACCGCTCATCGGCGTGTCCGTAATCAAAATAAAAATAAAACATATTATTTATATAAAGTACCAATCAAGCGGGGTTCACAATCAACAGCAGGTAAGCATAATAAACTGCTCGCATTATCACCATCGAGTTTCATATAGAGTTGGCATTTTTAATGGGCAACAAAGTGCACGGGATCAGCTAGTTATATGTAATATTGAAATGTATACTATATTATATAGGTATGCATACATATTTATTGTTTTGTTGTGTTATTATATATTTTCCGTTTCCGAATTCTGTTGCTTACTTACATTATTTTTTAGCTGCTTAGAATAGCACGCTATCATCAGTTTTGTTGAAATATTGGTAGAAAATAAAATAACTACTGAAACATAAATACACAAAATTTATACTACATCGATTTTGATTGTGAATACTAGAAGATACCATTATCCATTACTCATTTATCTTATCATCTATAATTTAATTAACCAACCCATGTTTAAAACACACAATTTGTACACACAACCAAGTTGGTTATCAAATAATAAAATCTGACTCATACATTTACTTAGTTCTATACAATATAGTTATTAATACAATTACATTTTACTCTGTTCACTGATAAATATTAATGTATTGTTCGATCATTTAGGTAGGTACACGTGTTCTATTTATTTGATAAATAATCTAATCATAGATAAAATAGTAAAAATAATTATAGTAAATATTAATAAGTGGGTACGATTTTCGTTATGATAGGTAATAATTCAATGTGTAGGTGGTAGGCGAAAATCGAAGACAGTATATTTGCCTTTGTTCATGAATACCTGCGGTGTGTACAAATATGTAATTATTTTATAGTAATTATTACTGACTATATACATTCAAACGACTGAGTAAGTATGACATTACCAACCCAGGAAGATGAACCAACAAAATCAACAGTGACAAAAGAATCGATGTTGGTCAAACCAAAATTAAAGGGAGATTGGCCAAATATTTTTCTATTGTTATTGCTTTATATAATGCAAGGCATTCCCATAGGCATAGTCACAGTTATTCCAATACTTTTGCAAAGTAGACAAAATATAACTTACAAAGAACAGGTAAATATATTTGACACTTTAATCTCAAATACACTTCTATTACTTCAGGTACTACAAGAATTTTATTATGTTTTTTTTTAGGCTTTATTTAGCATAGCCGGATGGCCGTTTAGTTTAAAACTATTATGGGCTCCTTTGGTAGATGCTCTCTACATACAAAAAATTGGAAGGCGCAAGTCATGGCTCATTCCGGTTCAGTTTTTAATGGGTATGTACATTGTACTTTCTTTACTACATATTTTCGGCTAAAAAATATTGAGTCGGTAGCAGTGTATAAGTCTCAAATTATGCGTTGGAGTAATCTAATTTGTATGTATCATAAATAATCCTAAGAATGATTTGAGTAGCTCATTGAGGTCTAAAAACTCAAAAATTGGTGATGTCCTAATAGCTAAACTAAAATTCAAAACAAAACAATGAAATGCATGCAATTTTTTTAGTTTTAGTTGATAATGAGTAATTTTTGTTGAACAGGAATAGGCTTTTTTTATATGGCTAACGATATAAATGACCTGTTGCCCGAAAAGGGAAAACCAAGTCTGCTTAAACTAGTAATTGTGTTTTTCATAACTACTTTCATGGCGGCTACCCAAGATATAGCAGTTGATGGTTGGGCATTGACTTTGCTACGAAAGTTTGTGTTTTTATTTACGTATACTATAATGCATAATTATTGTTAAATCAAGTTTACATAAATGTCTACTATATGTTTTTATATATGTGTGTTTATTATTGTTATATATAGAAACAATGTAGGCTATGCATCTACATGCGCTGCAATGGGTCAAATAATAGGTACGATGATAAGTGCTGTGTCTTTCATTCTGTTTACTTCAGAAGACTTTAGCAATAAATACTTAAGGATTACGCCTAATGTTGGAGGAATAGTGACAGTGCAAAGTAAGTCTGAAAAAAAAAATTAACAAACACCTAGCTGAAATCTTTTTAGGACAATAATATTTTGATAAAATCTTAAGAACACATGTGCGAAATCTGATGAGGATTATCTACCTGTTAAAGAAATACTTAATCGTGACCAGGATTGATTTCTAGTTCTTAATTCTTATATTGTAAATGCAGGAAAAATATAATTAATGAAGTTTGAGATTGAGGACTAAACATAGTTAGGAGTTAACTTCCGATTAAAATGGTTCAATTCATATCACATATCAGTCATCCCTATATTTTATAATATTTTAAATATTCACTCGAATATGTAACAATGTATAACTTTTATTTTAGATTCCACACGGTGCGATGGATGTTTGTTATTACAATAATGTTTTTTTGAATTACATTTATACGACACTTAAAAATTATGTAACCATAAAATTTAAATCATATACTTTTTACAGGTTTATTTTTTGTTTGGGGCACTTTCTTTATTGCAATAACAACTTTAATTGCCATTTTTAAAAATGAAAAAGATAATAGATTAGAGGATAATCACGTAAAGCTTAATACATTTCAAAACTATATGCTCTTGTGGGACATTTTAAACTTACCTAGTGTTAAAATATTGGCAATAGCATTATTGACGGCAATGGTAAGTAAATGACTAAAAAAAGTGCAAAATTTAATTTTCCTCACCTAATATTCGATTAAATAAATGTCCAGAAAATTAATATTTTTTCTCCACCCGAAACCAGATAGCTAATTTTTCCATGCCCATTTTTTTCTACTGCAAAAAGGTTCAATTCCACTTTTCGTCCGAAATGTATTTTTCTAAATCGTTGTGTCCATAGAGAGGGTTGCAACTCGATTGAGCACAGTTTACCTTTTTCACCACCCGATTGAGCACAGATGCAATCTAACAATGGGAATTCAAAAAATATCAAAATGCCGCATGATTGATCATAGAAAAAAGTACAAAATTTCCATTTTTCTAACTTTCTAACTAAACATGTAGGTACTTGTTTCCTAATTTTCATACAATTCGATACGATATTGTCGTTTTTGTCCATAAAAGTTATATAAAATGGTTCATAAATACCTTCAAAAAATGTATGTATGTAATATATGCAAATAACTTTTCACGTAACATTCTCTCTAACATTTTCCAATTATTTTTCTCTTTCCGATAAAATACCTTCAATAATTATGACAAACTGTTACGATTCCACTTATTTAAATATAACTTTTACTTCTAAATTTCACTCCAACTCCATTGAATACTGGCACACATGACATAACATTTATTGCCTAAAATGATTTATAAACCTAATACTTAATTACCTAATCTAGAAGGGTTTACAATATTATTTTGATGGAAAAGTGAATTCAATCTTTTTAACTGCTGGTATGGTACGTGGTCCAGTAGAAACAGTCAATATTATTTTGGCGGTTAGGTTCATCACTCAATTAAATATTCATGTTTTTATATTAATCTATAACAGGTAGATTCAATTTTAACAGAAGCATGAGTATAAATAATAAAACATAATATAGTCACCTATTACTGTTAATATGCTGTCTTAACACCTAATGAATCTATCGTAATAATTATCACATTATTACTCATTTTTTTTTTAATCCCTAAAAGTGTATAGTTTTAATTGTATCAATTTTAATCTCAAACAATATATTATATTATATTGATTATTGAAGATTGGATTTGCGTCAACTGACAGTGTGGTAACCTTGAAACTCATAGATGCTGGTATACCAAAAGACAGCATTATGATTATACAGACAGGAATGTATGTTATAAAAATTATTACACCAATGATTGCAGTAAAATACACATCAGGTCCAAAGCCAATTAGCTTATACCTAAACGTGACACCCATCAGGTATTTGAATTTAAGTATTGATATTACACATAAATTACCTATTGTCCGCAATCAAATTTTAACTCAAAACGTAAACTCTACACACTTCGAATTTTAGGTAAATTCCAACAAAAAAACATGTTCAATAATAATTTATAATTTTAAATATGTAAAATGTTATAAGTATTATTTTGATTTTATAGACACTACCTACATAATATATGTTTCATAGACTATAAAGCAATCAAATCGCAAAAGAGTAATCATATTTTAAAAATTTTAAATAACTTAGGTATTAAGTACCTATTATAATGTAATTAAGCCACCAATATTATTTAATTTTTTAAATAAAACTATATCATTTATATTATTTGATTATTGTATACTTAAATTAATCCAATCGTTTTCTAAAATAAGTTAATTTAATCTTTTTTGTAATTTAGATACATACTAAAATAACGAAGTATAAAATATAAACATTTCAATTTTGTTTAGTTTCTCATAATTACTTATTTTTGATTAGGTATCATGTTCACGTATACCTTCTTAATACAATTTTATAGGTACTACAATAATACCATGTATAAAATAATATTTATTTATTTCAGATTACTTTGCAACACTTTATTTGGTTTACTAATTTATTATACACCAGAGATAATAAAAAATAATGGTATCATAGATATTCCAATGTATTACTATGCGATTTTATTAATTGTACAATTAATACATGATGTGAGTAACTTAAATTTTATTTATAAGTAAAACTTATTTATTAATAGTCAATAGATTGGTATGGTGAACAATTTTTTTAAGAAATAGTTGAAACAAAGTAGGAATATATTTTTTTAAAGATCCAATTGAACATTATGACAGTAGCTTTGATAGCTTTTTATTATCGGATAAGCGATGCCCGTTTTGGTGGTACTTACATGACATTGTTGACCACTCTTTCAAATCTTGGAACTCTATGGGCAAAATCTGCTGCAATTGGATTGGTTGATGTATTAACATTCAAGGAATGCTCATTTGATTCAAAGAACAATTGTTCTACTTCAAATCTTCAAAATGTAAGCATCTGTACATAATACGATTTGTAATTTTTTTATCCTTACGCAGGTATCCAAACACTATTAATAAATAGCTGAGATACATTTTCATTGTATGTTTGATTATTTTATTATTTTATTTAGATGTGTAAATTGAAAGGAGGTGATTGTATCGTAATAGTAAATGGCTATTATGTAGAATCTGTTGTTTTTACCATTTTTGGAATCATCTGGTATTTTATTTTTAAAAATATTCTCAAACACTTACAAAGTAAGAGTCCTTCTCATTGGCTTGTTAATTCAAAAATTCAGGAATCAGAGAATGATAAGAACGCTTACGTTATGAATGTAAAAACGTAATTTTTTAACTTCTTAAATGCTAATTTGTATGGTTAATATAAGTATTTTAAAAAAATTGATTTTTATATGACCGAAGAACATATAAAGCAGTACATATTTTGTAAAATTTGTTGTTATTTATTTTTAGGTTTGTAAATCAAAGTTTAAAATATTTTTTTTAGTTACGTATACATGTGATTTATATATATGTAGAAAGATTTATAAATAAACATAATAACATTCATTTACTTATTGTATTATTATCTTGTACATATTTTGGTTTATAATTGTATTGATGATAAAATATGAATATGTATTCGGTATGCTTCACACATATTTTCACTATTAAGTAAGTTCTGAATACGAAATTTAACTATGTATTAGTGTCGTAAACTCTACAGTACAATTGTAACGGAATTCCATTTAATTAATCACTGTGTGTCTAGTATTTTATACTTCTTAAAATGTAACCTTAAAATATTTTAAACGAAGTTATAAATGTGAGTGTGTATTTCGGGCCGTGGTCATATTTTTAAAGTGCTCAGCATTCAAAATACTTATTTCTTGATAGCATATTGCATTTCTACATACAATCGTCTACGTATATCCTAAATAATATATTTATTTGATTTTATCCTGTTTAAATACTTTATTAATAATAAATAATATTATGTACTTCTATTTATATATTATTTGTGTATATAGTTTTATATAGTAAGTAATCTAATATACTTGTAAAATTAATTTTGTTATTAAAATTAAAATCGCTTATCATTTATTACAAACTACTATTTCATTCTTAAAATTCAAAAGGTGGTTCAAAACTTTAAATTCACTATTATTTTTGCTTGTATTTAAATGTCTTATATATAAACGTGTTCATAAAATATGTGTATTAGGTACCTAACATTACCATTTACTACAAAATTAAATATAATTTTCCTAGGTACCATATTTCAAAATAAACTGAAATTTTAATTTAATACACAAGTGTAGGTACATGGTACCTAGACATATATGATCCAATCGTGAATGATTTAGGTTATGCATATTATACAACAGCGACTGCCTGACCATTGTTTAAAACATTTCTGAAATACAATTCCAATTATATGGGTCCGAAAAAAATGTGATTAGATTATAGTCAAATACTTTATTCGTTTTTCGTTAGTATGTCAACTGCATCGACCACACAAATACGTTACCTATTTACCGTTTTCAGCCATCTATTTTAAATCACCGTGAATAACATCCATAAAACATGAGTAAATCATCAAGACATAGAAATAAAAAATTCAAATATGCGGCGACAGGTGTTCTAATTTCGGACAAGCCCGATTTAAAAGGAGATTGGTTGAACATTTTCATATTGTTATTACTGTATACATTGCAAGGGTTGCAATTAGGCTTAACTAATGCTATTCCCATACTTTTACAAAGTAATAAAAATGTTACTTATCAAGATCAGGTAAGTCGAGTAAACAACCAAATTCATATTGTTTACACTGAATTTTTAATATTGTTCGGCGATACTTTATGCATCAAATTTAACAAGTTGTGCTCCTTCGTAGGCTGTATTTAGTCTAGTAATGTGGCCATACAGTTTGAAACTCTTGTGGGCTCCGTTAGTAGATGCGCTCTACGTAAAAAAAATAGGAAGGCGAAAGTCTTGGCTCATACCAGTGCAATATATAATGGGTATGTAAACCATATTATTTTTAATTTATATTTTTGTAAAACCATAATATCTATGCCAACCAATGTAAGTAAAATTTTCTATTCACCAGTTTGTTAAAAGTTTTTCGTCTTGCGTTTTTAATAAAACTATATTGCATTTTTCTGCAAACAGGATCGTTCTTTTTTTACATAGCCGACGACATCAATAACTTGTTACCCGAAACGGAAAAACCAAATATAGAAAAATTGGTAAACGTGTTTTTCGTGGCCTCTTTCTTGGTGTCCACCCAGGATATAGCAGTGGACGGTTGGGCTCTTTCAATGCTGAAAAAGTGGGTATTATAATACATCATTATAATGAATATATAGACGACAATGGTTTACAGCAGTAATTATTTTTTACAGGAATAACGTAGGCTATGCGTCCATGTGCAATACATCGGGCCTGGCGATCGGCTCGATGATAGGTTCTATGGGGTTCACCCTGTTAACGTCTAAAGATTTTTGCAATAAATACTTGCGAGTTACGCCTGATTCAGAAGGAATTGTTACCATGAAACGTGAGTCGTTAAAAATTTGGTCGCTAAAACTATACATGTTTTATTATGTATATTAAAACATTTCACATAAATATTAACATTCTTTAAGGTGTGAAATAACTCTCCCGTGGAACACAGAATCTAAATTTTTATATTTTAATAGACACTTCTATAAATTATACATCATGCATTTATATTGGATTCTACGTTCTCGATTAACATCAAAAAAATATTATACTAATTTATATTTTTAATTATATAACTACAATGGTTATAATTGCATTTAGGCATAAAATTCATATTAGGTACAGTAGCATTATTAAAAAATTAATACATTGATATTATGAATTAATGCACTAACAATGTTATAACATTACATTTCAATTACACACAAATATATGGTATTATTACATTTTTATAGAATTATTATACATTTGGGGAATTATATTTATGTTTATCACGACATTGATTGCTATATTCAAAAAAGAAAAGGATTGTTCATTAGAAGATGACCATGTGAAGCTGAGCACTTTTCAGAGTTATCGCTTACTATGGGGCATTTGCAAACTACCTAGTATACAGATATTTGCAATAGCATTGTTGACAGTGAAAGTAAATAATAAAATAAAATCATAATTCAAATTATGTTATCTTATGATAAATATATTCAAATAATTTACTAATAGTGTACTAATAATATTTTACATTAGGTAGTTTAGATTTAAACAGGTTAATTCACCAACCATTGTTTCATACTTTTATTCAGAATCCGATTTTTGGAATTTTTAAATATACAGCATTAAGTTTATAAAGACCATATTTTAAAACTTTTGAGATTTCTTGTACTACTTAAACTTTAAAAAGTGTCCTGTGGTGATAAATATGTCTGTTTTTCAAATGAAAAGCCCCTCCTCTTTTTTAATGTAAATTATTAGAGAATAATTTTTTTGTTCCTAATTCAAAATTTTAACAAGTTATTTTATAGAAATTAAAATGTTTAAGCTAAGGATAATTATAGTCCTTGGAAATGATTTAAAAAAAATATAAAGTAGATGATGTAATATTGGATCTAATGTTGATTATACTTGGACCATTTTTACAAACTATTTTTATAGATTTATAGTATACATTTTATAATAATCAGTAATCACTACCCTTTTCTTATCACTACATTAACACATATTTTCGAAACTCATAATCATGGACTCATAATCAATATTTAGTTCTTAAGTCAGAATACTCAAAAAGTCAAAACTACTCGTTCGAATTTTAAAATATTCTGATACGTCAACATTTTTAGAAAGTTAATTTTCTAAATAACTTACAGTAGAATAGGGAAGTTGTCATTTAAAAAACAGAAGTCTGTAATTTTGTATCCACACAGTACGTTTCTTAAGTAGCACAATAAGTCTCAAGAATTTAAAAGTATGGTCTTTGATTATATTTTAAAATTCCAAAAATTAGATTATGAATAATTGCTTTATTGAAGAAAAAACTTGAGTTAACCACCCTGTTACTCAATAGTTCTATATTTCTTCAAAAATTCCATAGGTAATCCACTGTTATTTTTTAAGCTCATAGGTTGCTGCGGTATACTTCAATTATTGGTAAAATTACTCTCTTATTCCACAATACTATTGAATATTATTGTATTTGTATATTTAGAATAAAGTTATGAATATTATTTTATCGTCAAAAATATATTTTTAAATACATCGTACTTTCATATTAATTAAAGCACACATATTTTTTGTTCGTATAAAAGGTTGGATTTGCTGCAACCATCAGTATGTCGAATTTAAAACTGATTGATGCCGGTGTATCAAAAGATGACATGATGATAATAAATACATCAATAATCATAACAAAAATTATTTTACCTCTCGTTATTGCAAGATTTACTTCGGGTCCAAAACCAATGAGTATATACTTGAAAGCTACTCTGATTAAGTAAATACAATTTATTGAATTATAATATAATGTATTGGTACCATAATTAAGTTGCACATAAAATATTAAAGGTCACATACATAATTAATTATTTCTGTATATTTACAATATATTCATTATTTGTATTATTAAAACAATGATATAACTGTAGAAAAGAGACAAATCATAGGTATTTATCGAATTTTAATTTTTATAGAACTTCTATAGTCATCATTTTATTTGAAGATTTTTTATAGGTAGTTAAATCAACGTGATGTCAACCTAATTCATATTGATAAATTATTTTCAATAGTATTCAGTTTCAACAAATAGGTTGTTTTTTATTTCTAAAAAAAAAAACATAATATTAAAATTATTTATTTCAGTTAACTCAAACTATGTAGAATGCATATACAGAGTACTTACACATGTTACATATATTTTAAAATGTACACCTATTTCAGATTACTTTGGAACATTGCATTTATTATGCTTATATATTACACACCAAAATTGATAAAAAATAATGGGGCTATAAATATTCCAATTTATTACTATGCAATATTAGTAATTATATTATCAATACAAGAAGTAAGTTACTTCTTACATTTATCTTATATAATGCAGTAAAGTTTGATTTAAAATGTAATTTGAATTTATTAAGTTTTTAAAAATAAATCCTAATTAAAGGGTATTCTATACAACCTAACCTAACCTATATCAAAATATTGCCATTATTCTATATCCACGTGGAAGTGCTAAATGAGTCTGTGTAATAACAAAGTTGTGTTATACGAAAGTTTCAAATTAAAGGCGACAATGAAAGTACCCAAAGGTGGAAAAAAATCACGCAGTACCAAAAGCTCTATTTTAATTTTGAATAAAAAATTTGTATTGCTGGTTCCCTTTTCTAGGTTTCACAGAAAATTAATTTTCAATTGGCTATATAGTTAATTTAAGGTAGTATTAGTTTTTTTCTTTCAAAGTACAGTATAGTTACTGAAAAAAATGTATTTCCAATAACAAATAAAAAAAGAGGCTAACGAATTCAAATATTTATAAAAATGATTTAATATGAACTTCTGAATTTTTTTTACTTAAAGTTGCAATTAATTTATCAATTTTTTACATTGGTCTAAATTAAAGAAAAAATGACCAGCTTTCAACGGCTGCTTTTAATTTTTTAAATTCTTAAATGTTATTATTTTTTTTTTTAGATACTGAGTTATACTATGTTTGTGGCTTTATTATCTTTTTGCTCTAAGATAAGCGACCCTCGTTTTGGTGGTACTTACATGACATTGTTCAATACTCTCTCAAATTTGGGTCAGGCATGGTCAACTTCCACAGCACTTGGAATTGTTGATTTGTTAACATTCAAAGAATGTTCATTTGATTCCAAGAATAATTGTTCTACACTAGATCTCAAAAAAGTAAGTTATTCTGAAATTGTCCATCAATTTATAATGGAAATATTACTCCTTGGGTAATAATTACATCAGAACATAAAAATTACATTAATGGCTCTAAATATTTTTTAGACGTGTAGAATAGAAGGAGGTGACTGTGTTGTAACAGTGAACGGTTATTACATAGAAATGGTACTGTGTACAATTTTCGGAATCATATGGTACCGTTCTTTCAAAAATATCCTTAAAAATCTTCAAATGATTTGCCCATCTCAGTGGTTGGTGAACTACGTGAAACAATCAATTACAGAAAATAGCGAAAATAGCGAAAATAGCGAAAATAGCGAAAATGAATTTACCGTTACCGAGCAGTGATATATTTTGATTACTTTTGCTTGAAAAATAGACGGTTTTGTATGATTCTATTAGGCAATTGTTATATGTGTTCATTCAATATTCACTCAGCTATACTCCTACCTAACCTTCATACCAAAGGCGTTCTGAGCTTTTTTGAAGTAGGGGAATATGAGTATTTAACTATTCGCAGATGTAACAAAAAAAAAATGTCTATTCTTGCATTTATTTGGGTTCCGTCTAATGTATACTTATAATTTTAAATAATGTAATATTTTAAATTTTGACACAAATTATTTATAAAATATTATTCAATTAAAAAAATTACCTTCTTCCACTCTATATATATTCTAATACTGCACTAAAATTCCCAATAGACGATTCCTCTAGAAACTATCATATTAATTACCATAACTACCTAAAATTTTTTAAATCGAATTATAATACAACTATTTAATACCTATTCATATACCTGGATCTTACTAACCAATAACCATTAACACACAACATCTCGTGGCAAACCTAACAATTTCACTACATAAATATAATATATGTAAAATAAATTATTGATTTAAGTTTCAATCTGTTTTTTTTTTTATTTTTAGCAAATCTATCGAAAAATAGTTTATTATATTAATAATGATCATTTTAGAACTATTAAGATTATAATTTTAAGAAGAAATTACATTGAAAATATAATAAAAAACCCAAGAAATGCCCTAGGTAACAATCTTACCTTTAATTTTTCTAAGAGGTCAATTCACTCTAATGAACTAACGGAGTTAAACGTGATCTGCTGAGAGTATAATTTAGTGTGTTAATCACTCGTAACGCGGAGACGATAAATGTTTCTTCTTAAGTATATTTTTTTTTTTAGTCAGTTGTATTTTTTTCAAACCCTTCATTAATTTGTTCAACGATGATGTATGGTTGTCTTTTTGAAAACAGAATTTTATTTTTTAGGAGTGTGTTTTAAACGGTTTAATTTGACTGTTATTTAAAAAATTGTCTGATTTAACAACGGAAGTTACATAATAATCAAAATTCAC